CTAATTGTGTGACCTTGGGCAAATCCTTTTAGTCCTTTGACCTTGTTTCCTCAACTGTAAAACAGAGATAATAATTCTTTCCTTACCCTATTCATCAAGGGAAGATGAGGAAAGGACTTTGTGATGCCACTTGTGATCACTTACTCTCTCCATTCTCCCCTCTCCACTCCCCCTGCTGAGCTCTCTGGCTTCCTGTAAGTCTCCACTAAAATCCCACCTTTTACATGAAGCCTTCCCGAACCCCTCTTCATTGCGGTGCCTTCCCTCCGTTAACTATTTCCTATTTATCCTTTATATAGATTACTTTGCATATATTTGTTTACCTGTTGTGTCCCTCATTAGATTGGAGGCTCCTTGAGGACAGAGGCCATCTTTCACCTTTTTGTATCCCCAGCACTGAGCACAGTGCTTGGCACATAGTAGGTGCTTAATAAATGTCAGTTGATTGGTTGATTGATTAAATGCTGGAGGAATTCAAAAGAGAAAGAAGAGGGAGAGCTGAATGTAAATCAAGGAAGATTTCATAGAGAAATAATCATGGTGCTTATATTATTTGTGTGTGAGAGAGTTTTGCAGAAGCAGCATGGTAGAGTAAAAAAAAAAAAAGCCTTAGAATTAGAATTGTGAGACCTGGATTCAAGTACTGGCTTATTACCTGTGTAACATTGGGCAAATAATTTATCCTCCCTGGGCCTTGGTTTCCCCAAATGTAAAATCAAGGGTTCAGACTAGATGGCATCTGAGGCCCATTCCAACTCTGGACGTGTGACCCTTTTCTCCTATGATTTGAACCCAGTTCTTTCTGGCTCCTAGGTCACCTTACTATCTGTTATATCCTACTTCTTTATCTATAAAATAGAATTAATAGACCTTATACTACCTATGACATAGATAGAAAGTGACATATGACATAGGAAGACAGTGCCTCATTTACCTTAGAGGACCATAAATGTGGACCATTTTTATTGCCAAAATTACAAATTCTTACATGTAAAATAGAGAATAAATATAACTGCAGCACCTACCTTCCAGGTTTGTTTAGGACCAAGTGAAAAAATGTAAGTAAAATCCTTTGCAAACTTTAATGTACTCTGTCTATGCTATGTCATACTAATAACGATTGATAGCAATATTTGGGCATTCCGGTGATACCTCTTAGCATCAGCACTTTTGCTTATGTTGATGGGATCTTGTTTTTGGTTTTCAGTGGCCCACCCTCAGGACCCTCATCACCCATCAGAGAAGCCTGTCATCCAGTGCTACAAGTGTGGAGAGCCATGCAAGGGTGAAGTGCTCCGGGTTCAAGCCAGGCATTTCCACATCAAATGCTTCACCTGCAAAGGTACTGTGTCCATGTGTTTCCTGGCTTGGCAGTTTAAGAGTCATTATAAGGTTGTGGGATGTTAGGGAAGAAAAGGCACCTAGAGAAGTCACTTCATCTAACTTTCTCATTTAACAAAGGAAGAAACTGAGGCCCAGAAAAGGGAAGGGACTTACTTATCATCACATTTCTCAGACTGGAATTCAAATGTCTCAGCTCTGTCTAGGGTTTTTTTTTCCCCTAGAAACCACATTGCCTCTTTTTTCTCTGCAGTCTATCCCAGAGATGAGGTGAATTTTAAATTTTACACTAGAATAAGAACTGTAATTTATTTTTCTGGTTTAAGCAATGTTCTCCTCACACTATGTCCTATCAAAGACCCTACATTTATTTGTTACTTACAGGGAGTGGTCTAGTAAAAGCCAAAGACTGTGGGTCACCAACCTGAGGATTGGGATATGCAGACCCTCAACCATACCAAAACCACTGTTCTGAGGAGGAAGGTTATACCCTGCCTCATTTTCTCTTGCTTTGTAGAATGCAGAGAATGACTATACAAACCCTTCCTCCATCTTTGAAAACAACAACAGTAAAAACTCAGGCAACCTTTGAGAAGTGAGATTCCAAGCTTCTCATGTCCTCTCACCTATTCTCCTGTTTTCCTGAGTGGATAGTGATGGTAGGTGGTTGAGTAGGCATGAGCCCCCCTTCCTCAAAGATATCTTCCCTCAGAGGGTCTACAAATTTGATATTTGCTTGGATTTTTATTTTTATTTCTTTGGGGGGAGTTAGGCAGTGTGGTCAAGTGACTTGCCCAGGGTCACACAGCTAGTAAGTGCAATGTGTCTGAGGCCGGATTTGAACTCAGGTCCTACTGAATCCAGGGCCGGTGCTTTATCCTAGCTGCTACCTGCTTAGATTTTTAAACTCCCCTTTTAAAATAAAAATAACCCCTGAGAGTTTTAAGCCTAACACCAGTCACTCACACTAGAGTGGACAATTCCTTCCTCAGATGGATGCCAGTTTCCTGTTGGGAAGCATGGAAATTTGATTTTGTGGGGACAAAGGAAGGATAGGTCTGAAGCGCTAGGCATTTACAGGTTGGCCTTAGGAGGGTGCTGGATGCCTGAGGGTGTGGTGGTAAAAGTTTTGGGAAAGGGAGGGTGCCAAAGATGAACTTTTCCTCAGGCCCTAGCAACTAGGCTTGCTAGCATTGGAAATAATTTCTCATTCAACCTTTTGTATAATTATCATCAATTCTCTCACCTATAGATGGGAAGGCATTGGACTCAGTGATTGTTCAGGTCCTTTCTGGCTCTAGAAATTCTAGATTAGGATTCTAATTCTGGTACCTGACTTAGGCCTCTAGCATTGAAGCACATACAAGTATGGATCTTTGGCTGATAGAATTCTTGAAAAGATGCCGTGGTATTTTCTTATGCTATGCATCTGTTCAAAATGGACTTTTCTGGAGTTCTAAAACATTCTCCTCTGGGAAAGAAGCATGTTACAGTGGAAAGAGCACTGACTGGTGTAAGAGTCCCCAGGCTCAAATTCTATTTATGATGCTTACTACCTCTGTGACCTTGGCAGGTTATTTAACTTCCCCAGAATTCTCTTTTTATAACTGTAAAATGAGAGGGTTGTTGTTGATGGCTTCTGCAGCCCCTTCCAGCTCCAGATCTATGATCCTATTATCCTAAGTGAGATTGGGTGACCAAATTTGAAAATAGAAAAATTGGCAAGATCTCTACCTGGTTTATTGATAGTGATCTTAAGCAAGTCATTTCCCCTTAATAGGCTTGTAAAATGCAGAAGACAGAAATTTAATAATTTAAATGAGTAATTTAATTCATATAATGGGTATATTATATAATGGGTATATAATGGGTAATAATTTAAATGGGTAATTTAATTTATAATAAATTTGAATGAGTAATTTAATTATTAAAACTTGAACCATTGACAATCCTAGATTGTTGTGACAAAAGTACTTTATAGTTGCTTAATATGTGAGAGATATACTCATTTGTTGTTGAGTAATTTTTCAGTCATATCTGACTCTTCGTGACCCCATTTGGGGTGTTCTTGGCAAACATCCTGGAGTGGTTTACCATTTCCTTCTTCAGAGAATTAAGGCAAACAGAGGTTAAGTGACTAGCCCAGGTTCACACAGCTAATGAGTGTCTGAGGTAAAATTTGAACTCACCTCTTCCTGACTGCAGGTCCAGCGCTCTATTTACTGAGCCACCTAGCTGACTCCGATTTTAGAAACATATTTAGTAATAATAGCAGCCCACATTTATCTAGTTCTATACATTACAAAGTGCTTTATATATGTGATATTCTTTAGTCCTCATACCACTTCTGTGAGATCAATGTTATTATTATCCCCATTTTACCAAGATGAAAAAACCTGAAACTTGGCTTGCCCCAAGTCATTTAATTAATTAATTAATCTGGGGCGGGATTTGAAGCTCAGTCTTTCTGATGCCAAGTCCAGCACTCTATCTCGATACCAGTGGTACACTCAAATAGAATTATGGATCACTAATCCATGTATAAGGATCCCTGCAGGCTACATATTAATTTAGTTTTAAAATGCAGCATTATCAAGGCTTCTTTATACCCTTCTTCTAGTTAGTATCAGAGCTAAGACTAGAATTCAAGTCTTTATCTCCCTTTGTCATGTTGTTAAGTTTTTTTATTTTTTTCCCTTTCACAGTTTACTGACTCCTGCCAGGTTTTTATTGTATCTTCATATCCTTCAAGGGTTTCCCCAGGACTCTACTAAGACATAGTTAAAGGGAGAGAAGGATTTGAAGCTAGGTAATTTTTCTTCCAACAAATGAGTATTTATTGGATGTATTTTATTTCTGTCATTGCCAATGGAGATTTGTCTCATGTTGTGAAATCTCATGTTTAGAGCTTTGGAAGTCTCTGTTATATATGGTGATAATATCTATTTTGATAATTTGGTGATATTCTAATATATTCTGATAAAGATTCCTAGAGATGATGGAACTTCTAGGAAATGACCTGGGTTTCTGTCTTCTACTCTTTGAATAAAGGGACTAGCTGGCCATTATTTAATCTGTGAAAGGCTGACAGATGGGCCTCATTTGACATAATAAATGTATTACTGAACAGTTGCATTTTTATAAATTGAGTTATGTGTCAAATCCACTAGGAACACTGGCTATTTTAAGGGATCCTTATCTAATGGAATGATTTATTTCTTCAAGTAAATAAACATTGCCTAAACTGTATTTTGTAAATCTGAGGATTGTGATGTTTAAAAAGTTCAAGAGATATAGTTCCTGGTTAATTTAATAATTTTATTAATAATGCCAGCAAGTTTATTAATAAAAGGCTGGTCATTTGACTGTCTCTCTTAGACCAAAGACCCCTCATGGCAGTAGGCTCACAGTTTATATGCTCTTGGAAAAGTAGGTGTTTCTGAGGATGACAATCAACTCTGATTGGTTAACAGTAATGAGAGAATGAATATTCCAATGAGTGGCTGGGCAATATTACACTAAGGGTCTTGGGGTACATGACTTATTGAATCACCTATGATTTATTTCCATTTCACCTGCTGACAAAAGAAAGAATCAACATTTTCCCAGACCTGAGTAAATACAATGAGCAAGGATCCTCCCATTAGCCCAAACTTAAAATTTATTTTTCTGCCTGATTAGATCTTGACCTGGGTAAATCTTTGAGAAAGATTTCCCACACTGGTTGATTTCTGGATGAGGACGTAGAAAAGGGGAAAATTTAATAATTAGTTATTAATATAAGAGAGAAATGATAATTTCTCTCAGGAGGGAGTATTGTGTGGTCATAAGAATACTAGATGGAGACAGACCTGGATTTGAGTCCCAGTTTCTGCTATTTGTGACTTGGAATGAATCATTTAATCTCTAGAATCTCAATTTTCTTGTTCTTTAAAATGGGTTTCATTTTGAGGGAAAGCACTTCGTGGTCTCTAATGACCTGAAGAGCAGGTTATTAAATGGAAATTAAAGTTGTTATCTTTACTTTCAGTTAGAGGTTGGCTTCCAGTGAAAGATTAGCAAAATCAAGTTCTGCTTTGTGGATAGAATCAATGAAATATCTTTGTACCACTGGTTTTATGCATAAATAAAATAAGCAGCAGTCTGCTGGCCCTTCCTCCACCCACCTTTGTCCTCTAAGGATAAAGCTTTCCCTTCTATAATTAGGATATAAGACTTAAAAATATCATGATTCCAATACAGGTTTTGATATTGAGAAGGCCAAGGGAGCAATAGAGCTTGGAGTGCCTGAATTGGAGTGGGATATTATTGGAGGAGCACATGGAAGCATAAACTAACCATAGACTTAAGTGACTTCATGGTTTTTCTCTAAGCTGGTCTTGGGTGTATGTGTAGTAATGGAGAGCGGGAACACAATGAATTTTCCTTATTTCCCATAATGTTTGACAAGTTGGAATCAAGAGTTGATGGGTTAAATTTGCATTTCAACTGATCCCCTTAGAAAATAATCACAGTGGTCAGCAAAGGCAGGGTATATTTGTGGCATATTGTCAGTATTAGTTGTTAAATATGTGATGAGGTAGGGGAAATTTTAAGACTCTTTCACATATATTTTGGCCCTTTTGTTTCCCACAACAATTCATTTAATGTAGCAACGCAAGTGATGGGCTAAGCAATGCTTAATGAATTAAACAATAAATTTAATAGAAGCTGCTAAAAATAATAATTCTAATAATCTAAATTCCAGTGACTTTCTTTTATCTCTAGGATCAAATACACACTCCATTCTTTGACATTTAAAGTCTTTTAGGATTTGGCTCCAACCTACCCTCACAGTCTTCTTACAGAACAAAATATCTAATTTTTCCAAGTAGCATTTAAATGTGAATGGTTTGCTGCAATTCCCACTGTGCTTTTTCACCTTCAGTTTCCCAAGGAGCATCTGCAATGCCAAATTTTAATTAAAATTAATTAAAATTAGAAGACATATGGTTGTGAAGA